ATGAGGTCTCGCTGCCCAGGTGTGTCTCGAACCCGTGGGCTCAGGCGATCCACTCACCTCAGCCTCCCAAAATGCTGGGATTACAGGCTGAGCCACCGAGCCCGGCTAGGGCCTTGCTTTATATATGATATATTTATTTGTTGATTCAACAAGTATTTGGCAAGGCACAGTGGCTCACACCTGTAATCCCAGCACTTTGGAAGGCCAAGGCAGGGGGATCTCTTGAGCCCAGGAGTTCAAGACCAGTCTAGGCAACATAGCAAGACCTCATCTCAACAAAAATCAAAAAAATTAGGCACAGAGGCAACATGTCTGTAGTCCCAGCTACTCAGGAGACTGAGGTGGAATGATCGCCTGAACCCTGGAAGTCGAGGCTATGTTGAGCCGTGACCATGCTACTGCACTGCAGCCTGGACAAGAGAGTGAGACTTTGGCTCAAAAAACAAAAACAAGTATTTGTCAAGCTTGTATTTATGGCCAGACACTGCTGGGCACTGGAGAAGATTGTCACATTTTCTGTCCTCATTGAGTTTTTGGTCTAGTAGGGAAGCATAGTCAAGTTAGCAGGTGATTGCAATACACTATAATACTGTAACTGGGAGATGCCTAAGGTGCTAGAGGAGCTCTTAGGAGCAGTAACTACCTCAGACTTAGGAGGAATCACTGGAGGAAGTGACTTCTAATCAGATACCTAGGAATGTGTTGGAGTTAGCCAGCTTAGGACATGAGAAAGGAGAAGATGTTTCGGGCAGTGGAATAATATCTACAAAAACTCAGAGGCAAGAAGGAGCATCAGGAAGAGGATGGCACGAGATGATGCCAGGGTGGACAGTGGGCCTTCTCTGGGCATTCATTATTAACTGGGCTTTGACGCTGGCACTCAGCTGACGTTTGACCAAAATAGCCCTGCTAGCTATATTCCTTGAGTTTATCTGCTTATGATAAGCACCCTGTGTATAGCTCTGTCACTACACTTGTGAAACTATATAATTTGTCTGCTCAGTGGCCTGCTTTTTGCATTAGGCTGTTAGCTTCTGTGTCTTCTTATTATATCTCCAGAAGCAACCACCATGCATTGGTGCTCATTAAATGTTGTTTGTTGAGTGAACGATGGGTTTTCTTTGTAAAATGGATTACATCCTCCTTGCTTTCTTGAGCTGACTATCACTTTTCCTCAGGTTCATCATTATATCCAGCAGTTAATGTCCTATGTGGCAGTTCAGTGATGCCCTTAGGGGCTTTGGAGGTGCTGTACTCTGAATTCCTTTTTCAGCTTTTCATTGTCCTGTTCTTTTCCCTGCCTGCCTGGCCAGTACTTGATTGTAATCAATCTGCTTGTTCTAAAGCATCCTCCCCAGCCTTCTTATTTTCTTCTCCTAATCTGCAGTGGGCTGAAAACAAGATCACCTAACATGATTTGATAAGACTGTGACTAAGAGTTAGTAATCTCTGACAGAGTTCCTAAAAGGCTCTTTTATGGGAAAGTGTAGATGCCATTGCACATGGGAATTGTATGGTAGCTGCTCAGGTCTTCTTACTTCCTATTCTTCAAGCTTCAGGAAAGACCATATACTACTCCTGGGGTGATAGTGGGGTCCATCAGTCTCCTAATGCCCCTGTCTGAGTAGAAGAGCTGATTGACCATTGATTCTGTAGACCTCAAGAGAATATGGTCTAGCTATACCTGGGTGCTAACAACAAACCTCAGGCCCTTGCCTATTAAGGAGAAACTCCACAGAGTGTGTGTTTGCACCTTCACCCAAACAGAAAAAAGAAGAGGGAATAAGAGCCAAGGCTGCTACCAAAACATCTGGGCTCTACTACTTTCTCTGGGCTCTGATTCTCTCATTTCCCAAATGAGGGTGACAGCATGATATGATGGAAAGAAAGTGTAAAGTCCCAGATTAGACCAGGTTCTGATCCTCACTCGACCACAATACCTACGTGATCTCTTAGCTTCAGTTTCCTCATCTATTAAATGGGAATAGTAATACCTACTATGTCAGGTAGTTAAATAAGATTTGTTGTGTGAAGTGACCATTGCCAGGCACAGAATTGAAGAAGGTCAGTAAATGAAATATTTTAATATTAGCAAGAAACATAACAGTCTTCTGGCTTTTGGAACTTTAAATACAATGTTTGGTATTGCAAGAGAGGGAAATGTGTAGATTCCATTCCAAGACCACTTGAAAAATAATGGTTTAGGAGTTATCTGATGCTTTTGACCATCTAGGCAAGGTCACCTCTTGACTGAATATGCCCCTTTATCCAGTGAGAGGTAAGAGGAGCCTGCGCTTTGTAGAACATATGCCATGGACAAGGTGAGTACAGGTACGCAGAACCTAGACTCCACCCCCAACAAACTCAGCTAAGGAAAGATCATAAGACAGTTACCTGGAGAAATTCTACAGGAGGCAAAAAGATACTATTGCTTGAGCGGGGAGGGGGGGTCTCATTTCTTAAGAGAGGACCCCAGAAGTGGTGTAACTTTCCAATTTATTGTCCAGACTAGAACTGTCCAGGACAGCAGTCGTACACCAGGACCATCCTGGGTGAACAGGGATGTCTGTGGTCCCAGAAGATAGTCTTGTAAAGGTGATGATTGGTTTTTGGTTATTTTCTGCCAAAATAAAATGAGAGAATTACAAATGTTAGCACTAGAGTAAGCCTGGGGATTTTGGTTCTTTGACCACATGAAATGCTTGTTCTTACCTTTCAAACAATGTTTATAGGTATTATTAAGAGTAAGAAAAACAGATTACAAAATTGCATTTTCAGTAAATTTCTATTTCCAAATCTGGAAGAACATATACCAAAATATTCAGTGTAGTTTCTCAAGTTGTTAAGATATTGGTTCCTTTTCTTCTTTGCACTTTCCTGTGGTTTCAAAATTTGTATTGCTTTTATAAATTAAAAACTTTTTTAAAAAATTAAAACTACTTTTGGGAGGCTGAGGTGAGTGGATTGCCTGAGCCCGTGGGTTTGAGACCCGCCTGGGCAACTTGGCGAGACCTCATCTCTACAATAAATCAAAAATTAGCTGGGCGTGGTTGTGCACATCTGTAGTTCCAGCTACTTGGAAGGCTGAGGCAGAAGGATCACCGGAGCCCAGCAGGTTGAGGCTACAGTGGCCGGGAGCAGACACTGCACTCCAGTCTGAGTGACAGAGTGAGACTCCAACTCAAAAAAAAAAAAAAATTAAAACTACTTACTTACAAGACTATAAACATCTTCAGAGCAGAGAGATGTGCTAACCTTCTGCTAAGAACAACCCCTGTGTTCACTCCTCCCCATCCTGTCCCAGCCTGCTTTCTTCACCTGAGTAGCTCCTTCATCCTTTAAGACTCCTGTCTTCTGGAATCCTATCTTCATGTCCAAGTTGAGCTAAGCTCTCTCCTCTGGCTTCGTATATCATCCCGTTATACCGCTAACATAGCTTTTATCACAAACAATACTATAAACATGTTTATTGTCTGCCTCCCTTGTCAGATTAGGTCAGGGACCTTGTCTGATTTATTTCATGTCCCCAAGATGAATCCTAACACATAATAGGTGACAGTAAACATTTGTGGAACTAACTGGCCTCTGTTTTACCTCCGCTTATGGCCAGGCACATAGTAGGTACCATTTTATGTTTAGTGGGTAGACAGAAGAATGAATTAGTGAATTAAAATGCCAAGAGAAAGCAGGTGAGATTGGCAGCTCATGCATTTGTTGCTAATGGAAGGATCTGCATTGCTGTCCCCCAGTCTTGGTTACCCGAGAGGATGACTTCAACAACCGACTGAACAACCGCGCCAGCTTTAAGGGCTGCACAGCCCTGCACTACGCTGTCCTTGCAGATGACTACCGCACTGTCAAGGAACTGCTTGATGGAGGTGAGAGCTCGGTTGGAGGAAGGGTGGGTTAAGGTGGGGTTGGCAGGGAGAAAGAGTACTTGGCAGCCTCTCCACTCTGGAAATGCCACCTTCCCCAGAGCCCTGTTATCCTCCCAGAGCTAGAAATGCTCCACTCCCAGAGAATGGCAATGTGCACGTGTGACTGCCCTCCTGTGGCTGGTGTGTGTTCTGTGTGTTTGTGTGTGTGTGTGTGTGTGTGTGTGTGTGTGTGTGTGTGTGTGTGTGCGCGCGCATATGTGTGCTGCACGGAGAATGGCAATGTGCACGTGTGACTGCCCTCCTGTGGCTGGTGTGTGTTCTGTGTGTGTGTGTGTGTGTGTGTGTGTGTGTGTGTGTGTGCATATGTGTGCTGCACCGTGCCATCCTGCCTGTCTGCATACGCTGTGAGAGTTTTCTTGATTGTTACTCTTCTCCCCTGTGACCTCCAGAGCTAGGATAGTGGAACAAGGGAGAGAATCTTTAAATCCTTACAAATCCAGATAACAGAGATGACCTTCTTTTTACCACTGTAGTCTCAGTTAGGCCCTTTCCATTACTTTGGGTCATGGCATTCCATTCTTTTCCATCATTATACTTGTCACAATTTGAATTGCTCTTATTTGTTCAGTAACCTTTTCCCTAACTTAACTCTGAGCTTCCTGAAAGCAAGAACCATGGCTGACTTGTTCATGTGTCCCCAGCACCTACCACAGTACTTGGCACATAGTAAGCACTCGATAAATATTTGTTGAGAGTATCCTCCCGCTGAAGAGCATCCGTTTAATTGGATAAACAATATGTGCCATTCTCGAACTCGGGTTGCATGGGTCCTATCCAGGTCTGACACACCAGTCACTTTCCCTCCCACTTCCCTTATCCCACTCCACCCTCTCCTTGCCAGGGTGTGCGAGGCACAGGCCCCCTGAGTGAGTACATGGCATATGACTTTATATTCATACCCTTCCTGCCACTTCTTAACTTTCAGGCACCCTCTTTGGGCTGGACCCCAGCGTCCTCCTTGTCTGGAGTCATTCTTCATAGAACCTAAGACAGTAGAAGCCTCTCTGACAGTTGGCTGGCTAACATTTCCATGGATTTTGTCAGAGACAGAAGGAATCCAGCTTCTTTTCCAGGAAGTTCATTCCATTGTACTTCAACTCTGACTGGTGAAAACGTGTTTTTAATGAGCTGTAATCTTCTTCTCTGTAACTTCTGCCAACTGTCAATTGCTTCCTAATAACTTTTTCTTTTTTTTTTTTTTTTTTGAGTTGAAGTCTCACTCTGTCGCCCCAGGCTGGAGTGCAAGGGTGGCACACTCATGGCCACTGCAGCCTCTACCTCCTGGACTCAGGCGATCCTTCCACCTCAGCCTTCCAAGTAACTGGAACTATAGGCACACATCACCATGTCCAGCTGATTTTTTGTTTATTGTAGAGACAAGGTCTCGCCAAGTTGCCCAGGCTGGTCTTGAACCCGAGGGCTCAGGCAGTCCTCTCATTTCTGCCTCCCAAAGTGCTAGGATTACAGGTGCAAGCCACCACACCTGGCCTAATCACTTTCTCAAAAACCAGTCTTCAAAGAAGGTTATTTCTGTATCAGCGCCTTTGCCTCCCCAAGCCCAATATCCCCAGATCATCTTCTAACCGTTGTGACATGAATTGCCTGGAGGGACTTCCCAGGAACCCACCCTAATCCTACCACCTTCCATTAGCCACAATCACACTGACTTAAAACTCAGATCTATCCTGTATCCCCATTCTACAAGGGACCTGCCCCAGTGCAACCAGAATGTGCCTTGGTGTCTGGTACACATACACGGTGAAGGGCAGGACTACCTGTGCATGTGACAACAGTACCTAGGATGACTGATGCTTTTGGAGCAAGAACTTGCTGCTCTAAGAAGCAGAGACTTGGGAATTGTCCCCAAGCAGAATGCTTTTTACTTTGTCCTTTGGAAAACTCTCCTGTGAAACATTTGTAGCTCAGAATTGGAGCATTCACCATGGGGTTTCTCTCTGCTGTGCCTTACAGTCAATCAATACTCTCAACCACTGTCCAGTAGTTTACATTCCCTGCTTTCCCCCAACCCCCAAACAGACAGAGAATTTACTCTGTAAGGAGCCCCTCTCCCTAGCCTTCTAGGACAAACACCTTTGAAATGAAGAGTCAAGGGCCTTTTATGAAGCTCCCCCCACCCTCACCCCTCAGGCCAAGGCTGGCCCTTTGAGCTGTTCCAGGGGCATGGTTCCTGCCTGCTGACTTGGAACAGACGCCCTCAACCCCCACCTTTACATTTCTCACACCTGCCTTTTTAGCCAGCATCCATTTATACCCCCTGCCCTAGCCTCCCAGCCTCAAGGGCCAAAACCATTAACCCACTTATTTCTCCCTCCAAGACCAAAAACAAGTCACCGTCACTTGGAGCCCGCAGGCCTGCCAACTTCTGACCTCCCTCCCCCCTTGACCTCCCTTGGTCTGCCTGTGTGTGTGATCAGCCAACCGAGAAGCAGGATCCTGCTGTCTCATCCTAGAATCTGTTACCCGTAACATTTCCAAAGTCTTTTGACCTCTGCTGACCTTCTCCAAAAGGTTTCAGGGAAGGCAGGAGTGCCTGCCTTTCTGTCCATCCAGCTTTCTTAGCCTATACTTGCCACCAGCTTTGCTGCAATAGTTGGAAGGAGGTTCTCACTGTGAGAGCCAAGGCAGGCCTAGACACATAGGCCAGCAGGTGCTCATGAAGTCCACACAGAACTCTCTTCCTTGAAATTGCTATAGTCCACAGAGATATCAAGTCCCCAGATTTTAGAGGGTTAGAACTGGAGGGGGCCAGGTGTTTTTATTTTCTGACCAGAAGTCCCCTTTTGAGCTGAGAGAAGGTGCAAGCAGCAGCATCAGGCTGATAATGTGGGAAGCTCTCTGGCCCATTAGGAGGCAGTATGGAGTAATGGAAAGGGCACCTCAGGTTTCAAGGTCAGGCCAACCTGTGTTTGGATCCCAGCTCCCTCACCTACTAGCTGTGTTGCCTCAGACATGTTATCTTAACTCTCTCAGCCTTCAGTTTTAATCTGTAAAATAGCACCTATGTCACAGGGATAGCGTGAGGATTAGTGATAATTTCTATGAAAGCCCCTGGCAGGCACATGGTGGGTGCTCTGTGTTAAGTAATTATTATTATGACTTGTATAAAGAAGTCAAACTCTCATCCTGGCAGCTATAATCCCATTCCTCCCCACTATGGAACCTGTATTCCCACCCTGCCTAAAATGTCATCATGTTCCCTCTCTTCTCTTCTGAATCCTCAGATTCCTCAAGCCTCCCTCTCTCAGGAAACCTTTCTTGGTTGTCTGGTCTACTTTGATACTTCCTCCTCTGAACTTTTACAATGTTGGACGAGGGCTTAGCTCAGACTGCTTAAGGTCACTTCTTTATCTTCAGGAGGCCCCATAACACAGTGAAAAAATAGAAGCTTTGGCATTAGACAGACCTAGGTTTATATCTCAGCCCTCTTAAATGACTCTGAGCAAGCCGTTTGCTATCCCTGAGACCATGGACTCAGGGCGTCCTAAGACAGATCAGGTAAGCTGTCCCTGACCCTGAAAGACTCAAATTGTTGGAGGAGACAATGTCGAAATAGGCCATGACAGTAGGTAGGTGCTCTAGCAGGGGGATGGACAAAGGTCTCTGGGGATGTAGAAGAGGAAATGCCTTCTTCTACTTGGTGAGTAGGGAGGTAGAGTCAGTTACATAAAAGCTTCCCGGAGGAAGGGGTGCTTAAGCCTTATAAGGAAGGGTAATGGGAGTTCGTCAGAGTTCTCTGGAAAAGTTTTGAATTAGCTAGTGCCAATATTCTCCTAAACTCCACAGAAAAGTAAGTGCACAGAACCCTGTGTTTTTTATCTTTGGAGATGCTGCTTTTGCCTGTGTTGATAGCTTATGAGCAGGAAGGCTCTGCTTTAACACTCAACTGCAAGTATGGCTGGTGGGAGAGAGGACAACTGGAAAGAGGGGGGATCAGGAAAGGTGACTGGAGCTCTTACCTCAAGTCTTCAGGATTAACTCATCCTAATATTTCTAGGGTTGTTAGGGTGCTTTAGCAACCGGGTCCTCCCAGGGATGTGATCCCACTGGCAGATCCATCTCCCTAAAATATCCTGTAATCATGGCAGCTTTTCTTGACCAGGGTTCCTCCAAGTAATTGAGTCATAATGCTCTGAGGCATCCGTTGTACACAAGGAATTAACTTCTCTCCCAGGTGGCTAACATGGTACTAGGTTTGTATACCTTTGGGAGAATCGAGAAAATTATTAGTCAAGTAATTTTTGGTTTGTGATTCAAAAGAAAAACCCCCAACTGAGAGAGACTGCAAGAAAAGAGCATGAATTTTGGAGTCAGGATCTCTGTACCAGCCCTGCCACTTAATAGCTGTGTAATGCTGGGCAGATTACTGACTACTCTGAGATTCTTTTCCTCATCTGGAAATGGGGTGGTGCCACCTGCCTCCCAGAGATTTGTAAGATTTAGGACATATGTAGCTTCTGTGGAATAGGGACTTTATATATAGTATCTGTTATTAACTTCAAAAACACTCAGTGCTCACTTGTTTATAAAGAAAATCCTAACCACAGTAACGTTAACTAGCTTTAGAGTTGCTTTGATCTGACCCCACTGCCACCCCAACACTCCAGTTGTTATACTGTGTTCCCTCCTTAGTGCCCTTACTCTTGCTGTTCTTTCACCTCCATTTCCCACTAAAGCTGTTTCTCAGGCGGGTAGAATTCTTTCTACCCATCAGTCCCCATATCTCATGGCACCTCCTGAAGTCTTTCCTGTTCCCTGGATCTGGGTCCAGTCCCACTTACAAGACCAATGTAGATTGAAGGCCAGGCCTATGTGTTTTTTGTCTCCGTCTCCTTTGCTACAGTGTCCCCCACATGTGGTATCTCTTGAGAGATTTGCTTCCTGCTCCCCTACCCACCCACCCCTCTTAATGTCCTAATGTG